TAAAAGTGTAAAAAAAAAATTTCTTTAATGAAATAAAATAAAAAATGCTCACACACAATGAGAACGCACATTTGTGCCCCACACACATATATAAACGGTATCACCTATACTGAAATAATATGGAGGCTGCAATTACTGAGTCTGCCTGGAAATTCTAGTTGCCTGGCTTTCATACTGATCCATTGGCCTCTGTACTTTCTGAAGCTCTGACTGGACCAAGTATGTAGACCAGGAGTTTCTGACCTTCCTGCTTGTTTCAGGTCAGTGACTCAGCAGGTATTAAGGCCGGAGACAACCAGTATTCTTAAAGGGCCTACAATGTCAAGACAACATCTGCATGGAGTTTGCATGTTCTTCCTGTGCTTTAGGATTTACAAAGGGTTTACTTTGGGTACTTCAATTTCTTCCTACACCCCAAAAGATACTGATTAGGTTAATTGGTCTGTGATTGAGTGGATCCGTGATGGAAAGGATCTGTGATGGGGGGGGTCTGTGATGAGGGGTCTGTGATGAGGGGTCTGTGATGGGGGGGATCTGTGATGAGGGGTCTGTGATGGGGGGTCTGTGATGGGGTATCTGTGATGAGTGGTCTGTGATGGGGTATCTGTGATGAGTGGTCTGTGATGGGGGGTCTGCGATTGAGTGTGTCTGTGATAGAGAGAATCTGTGATGAGGGGAACTGTGATGAGGGAATCTGTGATTAGGTGGGTCTGTGCTGAGGGGCTGTGATGGAGGGGATCTGTGATGAGCAGGGTCTGTGATGAGGGGGGTCTGTGATGAGGGGTCTGTAAAGAGAGGTCTGTGATGGGGGATCTGTGATGAGGAGTCTGTGATGAGGGGAACCTGTGATGAGGGAATCTGTGATTAGGTGGGTCTGTGATAGAGGGGATCTGTGCTGAGGGGTCTGTGATGGAGGGGATCTGTGATGAGCAGGGTCTGTGATGAGGGGTCTGTGTTTGGGGGGGTCTTTGATTGGGGGGTTCTGTGATGGGACGGTCTGTGATGGAGCAGTCGGTGATTGGGGGGGGGGGGGTTCTGTAATGGGATGTCAGTCATGGGGCAGTCTGTAATGGGGCATTCTGTGATGGGGTGATCTGTGATATAAAATAGAGGGATGGGGGGAGGAACTGTGATGTGCATGATGGGGGTCATAGCACCAACATGACACTTGGACCTCCGCTGGAAGAAAGTTTTACTGACCGGACCCCTGTGAATTTTAATTCAGTACCCCTGCTATAGAGACTTAGTCCGGGATACAAGGTTTTACCGCAAAGGTGTCCATAGGGTTGAGTAAAGGTGCAGAGCACATGCATGTGGGCTACAGTATAGTATGTAGTGGGAAGATATACCTTTAAAGAATAATTCCTGATTGTTTTATAATGATTATAAGATCCTGAAAGTAACTTTTGCTTTTAATCCTCTTTAAGCTTTGTGCACACATGCACCTGAGTGTCATAACCCGTGACCACAAAGGATCAGTGCCAAGTCTCGGGGCATTGAATCATAGAAGTATTAAATGAAATATTCAGAGAGAGTGGAAAGTCCAGAAGTCTCCTAAAATTCTCGTCATCAGGAACGTCTGACCAAGGACCAAAACACTGCATGCCATGCACATTTCCTATTCTTAATACCCCATGTCAATCATCCAATAAATGGAGACAGTTCCAGCATACATTTGGTGTCTGATCTCCCATAGTGCAGAAGGTGTCTTTGAATTAGGCCTCACTCCCTAACTAAGGACAGGTAGGTGTACCTGTACTTCCAAAGCAATCCACGACAAGGTGTAGCTGCACTACCAGCCCCATCAGCTGTAGTATAAAATGTCATGCATATAATTGTATTATACAGCATATATACCGCTTTATAGGGACTGTTTTAAAGTAGAGAAGTCTACAACACATTTGATTGCTATGGCCTCATGAACACCGAGCTCGTGGCCCCTGTGAATGAGATCCCGGTGGAAGCTACAGGCGAGCTGTTCAGCTCCTCTGCATGCTGCCTGTAAAACTTTGAAATACTCAAATCTGTTGTGGCTGGAAGAATACTGAGTGGTTCTAACTTTAAAGTGGTTCTAAAAGCCAAAGGATTTTTTACCTTCAGTCATTCTATGATGGAAGGTAAAAAAAACCTTCAGAATGCAGCTTCCCCCCTGCAGCTTCCCCCCTGCAGCTTCAATAAATACATACCTGAGTCCGATCCAGCGATGTGTATGAGAGCTACTGCTGTCCTGGGTCTCTCTCTCCTCATTGGCTCCCACTGCTGTCAATCAAAGCCAGTGAGGAGTGTCAGTGGGCGGAGACAATCCTGTTCTGTGTGTCTTATGGACACACAGAGCGGGGTTCCAGAGCAGCACGCCCAAGTTCCCCCATAGTAAGCAGCTTACTATTCAGACACTTGAGGAGAGGGGAGGAGCTAGGGGGACCAGAGGGGGACTTGGGAAGAGGAGGATCTGGGCTGCTCTGTGCAAAACCATTGCAGAGCACAGGTGAGTATAACATGTTTGTTATTTAAAAAAAAAATTGTAGCCTTTAGTATCACTTTGAGGTTAACCACTTCCATGCCGCCCTGTAGCAGAAATACTACTACAGGGCGGCACGGGTGCGCAAAATCACGTGTATATATATATATATATATATATATATGTGTGATTTTACATTTCAGGGTAGGAGGCGTGCGCAAGCTGCGCGCCACCATTCGCTGTTGCGGCTGTCAATCACTGGGTCCCGGCCGGTAACTACTCGCCGGTGCCCAGTGATTTCTGAAGGTCTCTGAAGGGGAGGAGGACTGTTTTGTTTACTAACAGGCCTCCTGCCTGTCAGCTTGGGCACACTGCACAGCACAGCCATCCAGAGCAGTGTGATTACAGTATAGTAAAACACTCCCAGCACACAGTTAACCCTTTGATCGCCCCTCATGTTAACCCCTTCCTGCCCAGTGCCATTAGTACAGTCTCGGTGCATTTTTTGTTTTTAATTTTCACTGTATTGGTGTCAGTGACACCAAGTCAGTTCCCCCCAGTGTCAGAATGTCTGCCACAGTCCTGCTATAAGTCGCTAATTGCCGCCATTACTAGTAAAATTTAAAACAAAATTCCAGCATCTATACTGCTATTTGTAAACGCTATAACTTTCACCTAAACCAATTCATTTACACGTATTGGGATTTTTTTGAGCAAAGACATGAAGACGAATACATTTTGATGTAAATTTATGATGAAATTTGATTTTTAAATTTTTTATACTGGACTTGTTTAATAGCAAAAAGTCAAAAATATAATTTTTTTTTCTCAAAATTGTCTTTTTTTTTTATAGCGCAAAAAATAAAAGATGCATAGGCGATCAAATACCACCGAAAGAAAACTCAATTCGTGGGAAAAAAGGACATAAATTTCATTTGGGTGCAGCGTTGCATGACCGCGCAATTGTCAGTGAAACTAACTCAACGCCGTAACGCAAAAAAATGGCCTGGTCAGAAAGGGGGGGGGGGGGGGGGGGGGGGGAATCCTCAGGAGGGCAAGTGGTTGATATACACCCAGGGACAAATGCCTAAAATTCAGTGGCTTAAGGTTTTTTACCTTCATGCATTCTCTGCATGAAGGTAAAACCCCTTCTCTGTGCAGGAGCCCACAATACTCACCTAAGCCCCCTCTCGATCCAGCAATGTGCACTGGAGTCTCGACTATCCGTGGACTCCCTCTCGTCATTGGCTGAGACAGAAGCCGGAGCTGTCAATCACAGCCAGGGAGCCAAGGAGAAGAGAGAGGGGCGGAGTGGGGCCGAGTCACAGCTCCATGTGTGAATGGAGATATGGAGCAGCAGGTGCCCCTATAGAAACTGCTTGCTGTGGGGGCACCTTACAGGAGAGAGGGGCCAGGAGTGCCGGCATGGGACCTGAAATGAGGATCTGGGCTACTCTGTGCAAAACCACTACACACAGCAGGTAATATGTGTTTGTTTGTTTTTTTTTTTTTTAAATAAGCCTTTAGAATCACTTTAAGTAATGAGAACAATCTGGTCATTTCCTATCAGAAACTTTGTAATCTGAGTGATCATGATTGAGTAGTTTCAGGGGGCAGAGTGTTTTCTCCCCAAGATAAGCCTCTTTGGAGGTAACCCCCTTCAACAGCGGCCTTTGTACAGAAGTATACAGGAAAACAAAACCCACTTAAAGGATACAGTAAGTTCGTCTCCAGGAACATGTTACATGTTCCACCCGTTTTTTAGGGTGGAACTTGTAACATGTTCCTAATGCTGAAGCCGCTGCCCTTTACCCTCCCCCCGTGACAGAAGTATGGAGAGAAGTTCCCCGTACAAGCTGTAATTTTTTAAAAACAGCGCAGCCGCCGGCACGGCTCTGCCATTCATTTACAGTGTTCTATGAATAAATGTACTACAAGTCCCAACAGCCTTAGTGGCGGTCAGCTTGTAGTTCTCAAAGAACTGCCACGGCACTGTGGAGCGCCCTGGTAGTTCATTGAATCTTCCTGTCAGTATATCTGCTTGCCCGTACATCCCGCATGGGTAAGCAGATATACCGACAGATCTGCAGGAGTCCTGCATGGCACCAGAGAGCTGCCTCACAGTGCTTTACTGGCTCCTGCAACCAAAAATAATGCACATTTTTTTACCTGCAAAAAAATGTGCATTTATTATTTTTGGTCAGAAGATGAACTTAAAGTGTTACTAAACCCACAGCAGTACAATCAGTCTGTATATGCAGTAAAGCATGCTTGTTATACTCACTGTGGAACCTAAGGGGTTAATCCTCTGCATTGTGTAAAAAAACGCTGTTTGATCCTGACTTCTCTGATCCTCCCCTTCTTCCAGTGCCCCCCTTTTATCTCCTGAATAGTGAACGCAGAGTTCGGGGAGACCAGATATAGTGAATGCAGGGTCCTGGGGGACCAGATATAGTGAATTCAAGGTCCAGGGAGACCAGATATATTGAGTGCAAGGTCTGGGGAGACCAGATATAGTGAATGCGGGGTCTGGGGAGACCAGATATAGTGAATGCGGGGTCTGGGGAGACCAGATATAGTGAATGCAGGGTCCTGGGAGACCAGATATAGTGAATGCAGGGTCCTGGGAGACCAGATATAGTGAATGCAGGGTCCGGGGAGACCGGATATAGTGAATTCAAGGTCCTGGGAGAGCGGATATAGTGAATGCAGGGTCCGGGGAGACCGGATATAGTGAATGCAGGGTCCGGGGAGAGACCAGATATAGTGAATGCAGGGTCCGGGGAGAGACCAGATATAGTGAATGCAGGGTCCGGGGAGAGACCAGATATAGTGAATGCAGGGTCCGGGGAGAGACCAGATATAGTGAATGCAGGGTCCGGGGAGACCAGATATAGTGAATGCAGGGTCTGGGGAGACCAGATATAGTGAATGCAGGGTCCTGGGAGACCAGATATAGTGAATGCAGGGTCTGGGGAGACCAGATATAGTGAATGCAGGGTCCTGGGAGACCAGATATAGTGAATGCAGGGTCCGGGGAGAGACCAGATATAGTGAATGCAGGGTCCGGGGAGAGACCAGATATAGTGAATGCAGGGTCCGGGGAGAGACCAGATATAGTGAATGCAGGGTCCCAGGTTTAGTAACGCTTTAACCTTTAAAGCAGATCAGAATGGTGTCAATGAATTCTGATTGTCCTCAGACTGGTGTCATCGACAGAAACACCAAACCCTCCACACAGGCTCTGACTGTGATCAGTATTGATGGCCTGAGAGTCAGGAATCACATTTATCTATTTGTGACATTTTCAGACATGGAAATGTTGAACAGATCATAATGAAATAGGAATGATCATAATGAAGCTCCTAGTAGGAGGGAAGGGAGGGGTTTATTTTGGGGAAGAGATTTTCTAATACAGCAGATTTCCTAACCACTAATCCCTCGGAGGATTACCGGCCAACTGTCTCTGCTTTAGCCTCAAATGGTTGGTAAATCATCAGGATGCAAAAAAAAACTGTACCAAGGAAACATGGAGACTGTCCATGACTTCTAAAAATGCTAGTTCCTTGGTTGTCAGCTTCTGTGCTTTTTTTGCATCACTGATTAGGAACAAGTATGCAAACCAGCTCTGACTTCACTTGCTACATGCTTGTTCTGGGTTAGTGACTCAGAGTAAGTATTGAAGCTAGAGACAAGCCATGTAACTAGAATTTGATGGATCATTCACACGGGCGTTGAGCCCTCAATTGGTGTCGGCTTTGGAAGGAGGGGGAGGTGGCTCCTTCTGTTTTTACAATGCAAGCGCTGTTTACTTTTTTTTTCCCTAGACTTTATTGAAAAGATACAAAGTGGCAAGTTACTCATTTCTATGCACTGCAGCTCAGCCACAGTGCATGGAAGCACAGGCTCAAATAGAGCGCTAGGGAGTGGAAAAATGCAGGCATGCTCCAGATTTCGACGCTCCGACAGCTGCCCCTTCCTGGCTGCGGTACAAGTCAGTGCATCACACAGCTCCCTCTTTTTTGTTTAAACTTTATTTGAAGTGTACAAAATGCACACACTTCATTTGATTCTGTGCGGTGTGCTGTGATAAAGTGCAGCATGCCTGTATTTGATCACGCCATCCTGCAGTGCAGCCCTGGGCTGCATTGCAGTGTGAATGGGACACATAGGAAATGATTGTTTTCTGTGTGTCCATGCGTTGACCCACATTTTACGAGTGAGCTAAAATGCAGTGCAGTCATGTTAATTGGCCCTAACGTGAATAGGGCACAAAAAAAAACCAATTTTTTCTACATGCCCTTATGTCCTGTAAATATCACAACACCCTGCCTCAGATCTTTCAAGAGCATTTAATGAAAGAACAAATCCGATGCATGCTCCTCCCTGATGGCCATTGGGTGCTGCAGCTGTGCAATCATGCTGATTGGTTGCTTGAGCATGCATGTCTAACGGGATGCTGTGAATGTGTTCTTTCATAGAACAATTAATTGATGGCAGAAAAAGCTGTGAAAGGGGACATTGGATTGGACATGGATCAAAAGGAAAGGGGAAAGATGATGATTGAAGTTAGAAAATGAAGGCCAGTTCAGGATTGCTGCTGAAGCGTTAAAGGGTTATGTTGTAGAGATGCAAGTTTGCAGAGAATGGACAGTAATCCGTTTCAACATTGGAGCTGACTTCGTACAAGTGTGGGGAAAAGGGAATGGTGGAGTTAGTTTTAAAGCCAAACTGCTAAATACGCAGATATACAGTAACTACAATAGCTTTTTAAGGTGAAAAGGATTTTTATCTCTGTCCATTCAAGCCAGAGATTTACACAGCCCTGTCTGGCAGTTGTGCAGACCTGATCTTTTCCTGCTGCAGATTCACTTTCACATACAGGTGTCCTCTCCACTCTGACTGGACAATAAAAGTTGAACCATCACACTAATGAACTCCTCTCTCTGCTCCCTCCTAACAGCATGCACTTTAACAGGAGTTAATCCAGACAACTGACCGGCTCCTATGTGCTGCTTCTCCCTCTCCCATTTAGAGTGTTACTAAACCCACAACAGTACAATCAGTCTGTAGATGCAGTAAAGCATGCTTGTTGTATGCACTGTGGGACCTAAGGGGATAATCCTTTGCCTTGTGTAAAAACGTTGTTTGATCCTGACTTCTCTGATCCTCCCCTTCTTCCAGTGCCCCCCTCTTATCTCCTGAATAGTGAATGCAGAGTCCTGGGAGACCAGATATAGTGAATGCAGGGTCCTGGGAGACCGGCTATAGTAAATGCGGGGTCCTCGGAGACCAGATATAGTGAATGCAGGGTCCTGGGGGACCAGATATAGTGAATGCAGGGTCGGGGGAGAGCAGATATAGTGAATGCAGGGTCCGGGGAGATCAGATATAGTGAATGCAGGGTCCGGCGAGACCGGATATAGTGAATGCAGGGTCCTGGGAGACCAGATATAGTGAATGCAGGGTCCGAGGAGACCAGATATATTAAATGCAGGGTCTGGGGAGACCAGATATAGTGAATGCAGGGTTCGGGGAGACCAGATATAGTGAATGCAGGGTCCGGGGAGACCAGACATAGTGAATGCAGGGTCCGGGGAGACCAGACATAGTGAATGCAGGGTCCTGGGAGACCAGATATAGTGAATGCAGGGTCCGGGAGACCAGATATAGTGAATGCAGGGTCCGGCGAGAGCGGATATAGTGAATGCAGGGTCCAGGGAGAGCGGATATAGTGAATGCAGGGTCCGGGGAGACCGGATATAGTGAATGCAGGGTCCGGGGAGAGCAGATATAGTGAATGCAGGGTCCGGGAGACCAGATATAGTGAATGCAGGGTCCAGCGAGAGCGGATATAGTGAATGCAGGGTCCGGCGAGAGCGGATATAGTGAATGCAGGGTCTGGCGAGAGCGGATATAGTGAATGCAGGGTCCTGGGAGACCAGATATAGTGAATGCGGGGTCCGGGGAGACCGGATATAGTGAATGCGGGGTCCGGGGAGATCAGATATAGTGAATGCAGGGTCCGGCGAGACCGGATATAGTGAATGCAGGGTCCTGGGAGACCAGATATAGTGAATGCAGGGTCCGAGGAGACCAGATATATTAAATGCAGGGTCTGGGGAGACCAGATATAGTGAATGCAGGGTTCGGGGGGAGACCAGATATAGTGAATGCAGGGTCCGGGGAGACCAGACATAGTGAATGCAGGGTCCGGGGAGACCAGACATAGTGAATGCAGGGTCCTGGGAGACCAGATATAGTGAATGCAGGGTCCGGGAGACCAGATATAGTGAATGCAGGGTCCGGCGAGAGCGGATATAGTGAATGCAGGGTCCGGGGAGAGCGGATATAGTGAATGCAGGGTCCGGGGAGACCGGATATAGTGAATGCAGGGTCCGGGGAGAGCAGATATAGTGAATGCAGGGTCCGGGAGACCAGATATAGTGAATGCAGGGTCCGGCGAGAGCTAATATAGTGAATGCAGGGTCCGGCGAGAGCGGATATAGTGAATGCAGGGTCTGGCGAGAGCGGATATAGTGAATGCAGGGTCCTGGGAGACCAGATATAGTGAATGCGGGGTCCGGGGAGACCGGATATAGTGAATGCGGGGTCCGGGGAGACCGGATATAGTGAATGCGGGGTCCGGGGAGACCGGATATAGTGAATGCGGGGTCCGGGGAGACCGGATATAGTGAATGCGGGGTCCGGGGAGACCGGATATAGTGAATGCAGGGCCCGGGAAGACCGGATATAGTGAATGCAGGGTCCGGGGGAGACCGGATACAGTGAATGCAGGGTCCGGGGAGACCGGATATAGTGAATGCAGGGTCCTGGGAGACCAGATATAGTGAATTCAAGGTCCGGGAGACCAGATATATTGAATGCAGGGTCCGGGGAGACCAGATATAGTGAATGCAGGGTCCATGGAGACCAGATATATTGAATGCAGGGTCCGGGGAGACCAGATATGGTGAATGCAGGGTCCGGGGAGACCAGATATATTGAATGCAGGGTCCGGGGAGACCAGATATAGTGAATGCAGGGTCCTGGGAGACCGGATATATTGAATGCAGGGTCCGGGGAGACCAGATACAGTGAATGCAGGGTCCTGATTTACATACGGAAGTCCTTGATTGTGCTCCGCATCAACAACCTTTAAGGGAGACGGTCACGATTGGGCTTATGTGTTTGTTGAAATCCTCAGTTAAAGTGTTACTAAACACACAACAGTAAAATCGGTCTGTATATGCAGCAAAGCATGCTTGTTATTGTCACTGTGGAACCTCAGGGGTCAATCCTCTGCATTGTGTAAAATGGCTGTTTGATCCTGTTCTCTCTGATCCTCCCCTTCTTCTAGTGCCCCTCTCTTATCTCCTGATAAGACATATCATGTGGAGACACTCTGCACATGCTCAGTGTGGTGTGTATTGCTAGAAAGGTTTTTATTTTTCTTGAGGGAGTGCTTGTGATCAGCACAGGGCCAATCAATCATTTACAGAGTTCTGTAAATAAAGAGACTACAAGTACCAACACTCTTTGCAGCTGATGACTTTGTAGTTCTCAATGAACCACCGGGGCGCTGGACTGAAGTAAGTATGTTGTGAGTGCAATGCTTTACAGGTGCCTAAGGAAAAAAAAAAGCAAATACACTGTAGTCGTCATACACACGGGATGTTTTAATAACGCTGGTAACATTAGCTGTGTAAAGTCCCCTTAAAAACGTGAGTTGTTCAGCGTTTTTTCATTAGCATTCTTTTCCAGCGTTTTTCTGTGTTTGCGTTTTTTTACATGCAAAGCAAGATAGTTCAAGCCGTGATTTGTCATCATTGTGATGATTATGGCTTACAGCTCATGAAAACCCCAAATCCACAATCTCAGAAAATGAGAATATTCCATGCAATCAATAAAACAAGGATTGTACATAGAACAATATCGGACCTCTGAAAAGTAGAAGCATGCATATGTACTCAGTACTTGGTTTGGGCCCCTTTTGCAGCAATTACTGCCTCAATGCGGCGTGGCAAGGAAGCTATCAGCCTGTGGCACTGCTGAGGTGTTATGGAAGACCAGGATGCTTCAATAGCGGCCTTCAGCTCTTCTGCATTGTTCAGTCTCATGTCTCTCATCTTTCTCTTGGCAATGCCCCATAGATTCTCTATGGGGTTCAGGTCAGGCAAGTTTGCTGACCAATCAAGCACAGTAATCCCACGGTCATTGAACCAGGTTTTGGTGCTTTTGACAGTGTGGGCAGGTGCCAAGTCCTGCTGGAAAATGAAGTCAGCATCCCCATAAAGCTCGTCTGCGGAAGGAAGCATGAAGTGCTCCAAAATCTCCTGGTAGACGGCTGCGTTGACCCTGGACTTAATTAAGCACAGTGGACCAACACCAGCAGATGACATGGCTCCCCAAATCAACACAGACTGTGGAAACTTCACACTGGACTTCAAGCATCGTGGTGTGTGCCTCTCCATTCTTCCTCCATACTCGGGGTCCTTGGGCCTCTCCATTCTTCCTCCATACTCGGGGTCCTTGGGCCTCTCCATTCTTCCTCCATACTCTGGGTCCTTGTGCCTCTCCATTCTTCCTCCATACTCGGGGTCCTTGGTTTCCAAATGAGATGCAAAAGTTGCTCTCATCAGAAAAGAGGACTTTGGACCACTGAGCAACAGACCAGGTCTGTTTTTCTTTAGCCCAGGTAAGACGCTTCTGACGTTGTTTGTTGTTCAGGAGCGGCTTGACAAGAGAAATACGACATTTGAAGCCCATGTCCAGGATCCATCTGTGTGTGGTGGCTCTTGATGCACTGACTCCAGCCTCAGTCCGCTCCTTGTGAAAGTCCCCAACACTTTTGAATGGCCTTTTCCTGACAATCCTCTCCAGGCTGCAGTCATCCCTGCTGCTTGTGCACCTTTTTCTTCCACACTTTTCCCTTCCACATAACTTTCTATCAATGTGCTTTGATACAGCACTTTGGGAACATCCACTTTTTTTGCAATTACCTTTTGAGGCTTTCCCTCCTTATGGAGGGTGTCAATGATGGTTTTCTGCACAACTGTCAGGTCAGCAGTCTTTCCCATGATTGTGATTCCTACTGAACCAGACTGAGAGACCATTTAAAGGCTCAGGAACCCTTTGCAGGTGTTCTGGCTTAATTAGCTGATTAGAGTGGGACACTTTGAGCCAAGAATATTGCACCTTTTCACAATATTCTCATTTTCTGAGATTGTGGATTTGGGGTTTTCATGAGCTGTAAGCCATAATCATCACAATGATGACAAATCACGGCTTGAACTATCTTGCTTTGCATGTAATGAGTCTATCTCATATATTAGTTTCACCTTTTAAATTGCATTACTGAAATAAATGAACTTTTGCACAATATTCAAATTTTTCGAGTTTCACCTGTGTGTGTGTATATATATATATATAAATAGACAATGGAAAGTAGTTCACCATGCTTTTGATGGTATTCTGCTTTTCACATTGTTGTCCAATAAATTCTCTTCAGGATTCTACTCACATTTTTTGGAATTCTCAGCTCCCACTAAAACATACCCACATATTCTCAATCAATAGAGTACATAAACATAGACACCTAAGTATTTACTCTAAAGCAGAACTTGAATTCTCTTTAGAAAGTAACATACATTCCAAATTAATAAGTATGCTACCAAAATTAGTGTGTGCTGTAAATTCCCTCTAGCATTGCTCCCAGTTTGCTGAAGCCCAGAGCCCCTTAGCAGCAGTAAATCTTTAGGTGTCAGCTGATTGGTCACTGCATTTTCAGCACAGTGCAGAAAAAAAAAAAAGCAAATTAGCATGTGCAGAGCAGGGTGAGAGGGTATTACAGGCGTTCCTCGGTTTACATAATTTTCCGTTTAAGAATGAAAATCCATTGAAAATAATGCCACGGTTTACAATTTTTTTTCGCAATATGAACGGATTAATTGGTTTTCAATGCAACTAAGAATTTTTTTTTTAATCATGTCCCTGTACAGTATTTATGCCTTAAAATTGCACTTTATAGAGTTTGAACAGATAAAAGACTTCACCTTTTTTCTAAACCGGAACGGATTAATTGGTTTTCAGTGCATTCCTATGAGAAACCATGTTTTGGTTTACGAATTTTTCACAATATGAAAAGTCCTGCAGAACACATTAAATTCGTAAACCGAGATACGCCTGTACTTGATTTTAACAAGTATAGACACTTAAGCAGGCCATACATGGGTCGAATTCCGAACAACTTTTTGATCGAAAATTGAAACCATTGTTCATTCTGTAATCCGATGGTGCCACCAATGATTTCGAAAATCGGTCGTTTTTCACAGTTTTTCCAGCATGTCCAATAAACGAAATGGGGAGGAACCATGAAAATCGGCCGATGCCATTGCCCCACTAACAGAGCGGAAATCGGCCGATTATTCTTAGATCCAATATTTGAACAAAAAAAAGTTTGAAAATCGACCCATGGATGGCCAGCCTTACGCTCTTTTGCCAAAAGTATTGGGCCAGCCCTCCAAATCATTGGAGTCAGGTGTTCCAGTCACCTCCATGGACACAGGTGTATAAAATAATCCCCTAGGCATGCAGACTGCTTCTACAAACATTTGAAAGAATGGGTCGCTCTCAGGAGCTCAGTGACTCCAAGCGTGGTCCCGTGATAGGTTGTCACCTGTGCAATAAGTCCATCCGTGACATTTCCTGGCTACTAAATATTCCACACTCAACTGTTCATGGCTGAGTTGCTGCTGTTCCCAGTTGCTTCCACTTTGTTATAATACCACCAAGTGGTAGACCATGTACAATTACATAGCGGGGTCAGCGCATGCTGAAGCACACAGTGCGCAGAAGTCACCAACTGTCTGCAGCGTCAATAGCTAAAGACCTCCAAACTCCGTGTGGCCTTCAGATGAGCACAACAACAGTGCGTAGAGAGCTTCATGGAATGGGTTTCCATGGCTGAGCAGCTGCATCCAAGCCTTACATCACCAAGTGCACTCTAGAGCAATGGAGATGTGCTCTCTGGAGGGACCAATCACACTTCTGGCAACCAACAAACCCAGACAAGTCCATCGGATTGCCAGACAGAACAGTACTTTCCTGACTGATTGTGCCAAGTGTAAAGTTTTGGGGGGGGGGGGGGGGGGGGGGGGGGGGGGAGACGGACACAATTTCATGCTCGGAGCCAACTCAATATTGAACCCTACGGACTAAGACTGGGATGGCGTTTACCCCTTCGTGTCCATGCCAATGTTTAGGTTTCAGCTCCATTGCTTACATGGAAGGGTGCATGCTTGGAGAATGTCATACAACGCCCTCCCAGAACCAGGTAACCATGCTGTAGCTGTCATTCAGCTATAGTGCAATTAAAATTCATGTGCATGTAAAGGTAGGTGTCTCCATACTTTTGGCAATATGGTGTAGTTTTTAATGTTTTACATAGCTATACCCGCAAAAGGGGCCAGCCTGAAGTGATCTAGCAGGACTTCATTTTCCTTTTAGTGCCACTTCAATTTGTATTCCGTTAGTAAATATCAAGTGAATGATGTTTGCCCACTTGCACTCTAGAGGATTTACACCCCCCCCTTCCTGACCAGGCCAATTTTTGCATTACTTTAATAGAAAAATTGTGCAGTCATGCAATGCTGCACCCAAATGAAGTTTGTCTTTTTTCTCCCACAAATTGAGCTCTCTTTCTGTGGTATTTGATTGCCTGTGTGCTTTTATTTTTTGCACCGAGAAAAAAAAAAAAAAAAAAAAAAACAATTGGAGGGGAAAAAAAAAAATGTTTTGGACTTTGACTTTTTTACTGGACATGTTTAATTGCAAATTGTATTCTGCACCATGTCTTTGCTAAAAAAAAAATCCCAATACATGTAAATTGGTTTATGTGAACGTTATAGCATTTATAAATGGCGGTATAGATACTGTGATGCTTTGTTTTTCTACAAGTAATGGCAGCAATCAGTGACTTAGCAGGACTGCGGCAGACAGACAATCTGACACTGGGGGGAACCAACTTTATGTCAATGACACCAATACAGTGATCAGTGCTTATAAACAGCATTGACACCACTAATGGCATTGGGCAGGAAGGTGTTAATGTTAGGGGTGATCAAAAGGGGTAAATATGTGCAGGGTGCGTGCTTCACTGTAAGCACACTGATCAGGATGGCTGTGCACAGCCATCCTGAGCAGTGTGCCTGAGTTGACAGGGAGGAAGACTGTTTGTGAACAAAAGTCTTCCTCAGTCAGTAATCTGTGGCTGGGACCCAGTGGGTGACATCCATGACCACGAATGGCAGCACAGGTAGGCCACACATACCCCCTACCTGGAAATGCAGATACATACACGATTTTGCACACCAGTGCTGCAGTATATCTGCTATACAGCGGTGGGGGAAGTGGTTAATGTATGTACTACTCACATATCACCCTCCTATCCCATTGCACTTAGCGCAAATCAAATCTTAACTTACTTCAGCAAGACCCCTAAAATCTAAATCTTCATACAAAACCAAAGAATCCTTAATTCAGGCTACATTCACACAGCCAAAATAGCAGTGGTGGTTGTAAAAACTGCCTCTACACTGTGTGCAACCAGTAGAAGCTGTGACAGCGGTCAAGATTTGTATAAATCAATGGCCTGTGTCAATGCAGTTCACACGCACCCAAGTATTAGATGTGGCTAGATCCTCCAAACACAGGATGCAGGCAGTGCTCATCCCAGGTCAGAGTTCCTCCAGGATTCTGGCTGCAGCTAAAGAGGCCAGTTTGTATTTGGTTATAGCAGTGTTGTTGCATGCAGAGGTAGCATTTTACAGCCACAAACCATCTGCAGATATGCATGTGTGCAAATGTAGCCCAAATCTCACCAGTCATAGATTGCTTAAATTCTGCATTTCCTAAAAACAATGCAGCTCTATGAAAATTCCAGTTGTTGGCCGTCCTGCAGACTCGAGGCTTCAGGATGGATTCAGTGATCTAGAATGATTTTAACTGCTGCATATTTGTTGCAAGCAAAGTATTGAAGCCTCACTTTACGTGTTAGACTACATAACAAATAGAACATGTATGTATGTTTTTAAGGCTGCCCTGTTTGCAACACACTGAACAGCTGAATGGCAGTTTGGGCCCAGTGATCAGACATGCCGCCCTATCCCCAACCCCCCCCCCCCCCCCCCCCCCCATATAGTACTCCAAACACACGTGCACAGGCAGGTGGTGCCATGATTGGGATTCGAACCTTTAGCCACCGTGCTGCCCATTTAGCCACCGTGCTGCCCATTTAGCCACCGTGCTGCCCATTTAGCCACCGTGCTGCCCATTTAGCCACCGTGCTGCCCATTTAGCCACCGTGCTGCCCATTTAGCCACCGTGCTGCCCATTTAGCCACCGTGCTGCCCATTTAGCCACCGTGCTGCCCATTTAGCCACCGTGCTGCCCATTTAGCCACCGTGCTGCCCATTTAGCCACCGTGCTGCCCATTTAGCCACCGTGCTGCCCATTTAGCCACCGTGCTGCCCATTTAGCCACCGTGCTGCCCATTTAGCCACCGTGCTGCCCATTTAGCCACCGTGCTGCCCATTTAGCCACCGTGCTGCCCATTTAGCCACCGTGCTGCCCATTTAGCCACCGTGCTGCCCATTTAGCCACCGTGCTGCCCATTTAGCCACCGTGCTGCCCATTTAGCCACCGTGCTGCCCATTTAGCCACCGTGCTGCCCATTTAGCCACCGTGCTGCCCATCATAGCAGAGCAATACAAAGCAATGTGCTGACACAGTAAAACATTAGTTAAACCTTTGATCACCCCAGATGTTAACCCCTTCCTGCCCAGTGTGTGCTTTTCATTAGCACTGATCGCTGTATTTGTGTCACTGGAGATGTCTGAGTCAGTTCCACTCCAGTGTCAGTAATGGTGGCAATCAGTGACTTATGGCAGGATTGTGGTGGGCATTCTATTAAAAAAATAAAAAAATAATCCAGTATCTACCATTTGTAGCTGCTATGACTTTCTTGTAAGCCAGTTTACATGTGATTTTTTTTGCAAAAACATGTAGCAGAATACATTTTGGACTAAAATTTAATTTGCTGGACATGTTTAATAGCAAAAAGTAAAATATTCTCAAAATTGGGCAAATACCAAAAGAAAGCTCTATTTGTGGGAAAAAAAAAAAAAAATCAAATGTAATTTTAATTTGGGTGCAGCATTGCATGACTGAAATTGTCAAAGTAATGCAGCACTGTATTGCAAAAGAAAAAAATGGCCTGGTCAGGAGGGGGTGTAAATCCTCTTGAGGGCAAGTGGTTAAAAAAAAAAAAAAAAAAAAAAAAAAAAAAAAAAAGTCCACAGATATGAATCTGTTTACCATAAAATTCCCAGCACTTTGCTGCACACACGGAGCCACACTCCTGACACCAATTGCTCCAGTGCTTACCCATGCAGCAGTAAATGTATTGGTAGCCATTCACCTGTATTGGTGGCTGTAAGCAGTACCTTGGGAAAGTGCTGGATTTCTCACTAGAGGGACTTTCATCATCTGGCAACCATCCTGTTGCATGAGGCTTTTCACTTTGTAAACTGGCCATGAACCTTCCTCTTTCAGTGTTTTAGATTAGGTGTTGCCATTGAACCCTATAACGTTCATCTTGAAACTGAAAAGATTCAGTAAGCATGATAGATTTCTATATCCCCTATGAATGTTTGACTTTGTGGCCTCTCCATTCCATCTGCACATTTATAACATCACAATAAATAAGTACAGAGATCAGAATATGCAGACCGAACAGGTTTTAATAGTTACAATACTTGGATGTGCCTGCCTTGTAGCAGGCATAAAGTCATAAAAAGAGCATTTTACATTGGCATAGAGAAAAACCAGGAGAAATCTCCCACCTGTCCAACTGAAAGCACATGGTGTGCAATGTCCAAAGAACAGGAACAAATAACAAACACTTGTATTTTTTTTTTTTTTTTTTTTTTTTTAAACTAGGCGCATGTTTTCACTTCACCCATCCCATGACACTCAACCAGTAAAATTTAACCCAGAAAATAACTTCGTACAAAAAATAGGTCTGCGCAATAAAAAAAAAAAAAAAAATATGCAACTTTACATGAGTTTAAAACCTATTAGAAATAAAAGCAAACAATTTGTATAGAAAGGACTTCCGGAGCCGTAACATCACAGGAAAAAAAGGACTGGATTAACTTGTATCCATCTGTAAAGAAAACCAAAATCCACATTAGAGGCAGGAAAAGCTGCAGTCACTTTACACAGCTGTCAAATACGTCACATGCTAGCAGGCAATACAACAGCTGCAGCTACACAATTGTCAAATTACAGCATGGGGGTTGGGCAGGTTTGCTTAAACCACATGAAGATTGCACTAATGAGTACTGAATTATCACACTGACCCTTTCAATCGATCCAATTTGTCACTAACATACCATAATATTCACGTCAGATTCCACAGGAGAAGGTGGTGGGCACTTTAATCCCTTCACGCTGGCATCTCCCAGCCCTTTCAGGGTTCCAGGAGGCGGGGTGGAGTTTAGGGTCATGTGACAAGCCGTCACATGATTGGGAAAGGTCCCGATCGAAAGAGATCAGGACCTTTCCATGAGTACCGGACATGTGCTCTTGGCACATATGTCTTTTAATAGAACGCAAATGTGTGGCTGCTCGGCGTCTAGGCGGGAAGAGGTTAAAGAACAAGTTCCAATTCTAATAAAGTGCACCGTTTTGCCCCATTAAGTCGAGCTCTACAGAAGTCTATAGGGCCTCACGTGTTTCTCCTGGCTGGGTGACAGATACATACCACACAGACATCGGTCACACTGCCATACGACTCACAAGCTGAAGTGTCACTCAAAGCCAGGAGAAACTACAATCTAACCAGCACAGGGTAGATTTACTAAATCCTCTGCATACAATCTGGCACAGCTCCATATAGTAACCAATCAGCTTTTAGATTGAAGATTAATTGAACAAGCTGAAGTTAGGAGCCGATTGGTTACCATGTACATTTGCACCAGTGTCAGCAAGTCTCGCTCGTAATGTCAGTTCAGAACTCAATATTCAGATTTTAGCATTCCAATTGGGACTGAAATGCGGCCAATGTGGTTGTAGAGGCTGAAGGTTTTTTACCTTCATGCATGTACAGTTCAGGTCACTATCGCCTGCTGACAGGGACTCTTGTTCTACAAACTCAGCCTGCCAGCAAATTTTAAATACCAAAGACTTCACCAACTTTAAAATCTAAGACTTCTGTGAAGTATTGCAAGTTAGTACAGCATGCATAGAATTGTATAACCGCCCCTAAACAAGTCTTCGTATCAGATTTGTCTTTTTAATGAATACCCAATTGCTGAACCCCAGTCTACGTTCTGGTTTTGCTCGTTAAATGCACCACCCAAGTATTTATATTTACAGGGCATTGTAGATTTGTATGTAGTAGAGACATGCAGGCTTCTGAAGCACCAGCACTTTCATCTTGGGAATTGCACTTAAACACAAAGTAAACACCCCAAGGCACACAGTACTAGGACAAGTCATATCAAACATCAGGTGTCATGTAAACGCAAGTTACTAAAGAATATACAAACATTTTAGATTGTAAGCTCCCAGGATCAAGACCCTTATAATCCTCTTGTATTGAGCCATCATTGCTGTATGGTCTCCCGTTATATTGTAAAGCGCTGAGCAAACTGTTGGGGCCATATAAATCCTGTAGAACAACTAAAGTGCACTGCTTTACTTGGTGTGCATCAGATACTACTGCATGGATTGTACTACTTATAATGGGGTATGTGATTTTTATTACATCTGTACTGTTGGGAGATGTAATTTTTCATATGACTGTATCCCTGCTCTTTGTATTGTGATTGCTTGATTGTTGCCATGTATAAGTGATGTGCCTTTTACCCAACAGGGAAGGAAAAAAAGTGCACTACCTTGGAAGCCTATAACACGCTGTGGGGTTTATTCACTAAAGCTGTGGGGTTTAGGTGTCCTTTTATGACAGAATAGCTGCAATTCAGAGGATCACAGCTATTCTCTGGTCATTCACAGTTTATAACACTCAGGAGAACATGTTCAGCCCTTCACTGGAGATCTGTGTTCTCCCTCCAGATTCTCCAGCCCAGAGCTGGAGAATCGGAGGGACCGCAAACTAAGCAGAGATAATTTACCTCTGCTTAGTAAACTGATCTTTTACTGTAATCTCACGAGATTATAGTAAAATCAGCCGTTTTCCAGCGTTTGTAGACCGTTCTCCCTTAGTTTGGAGAACTGATCTACATATGCTTCATAAACAGCATTCACAGAACTGTGTTCTCAGAGAATGCCAGAGAACTGAGCAGCGATCTATTACTGCTGGTTCATAAATGGACACCTGATTCACGAAAGCTGGCTAAAGCTTCATTGAACAAGCCGAGGTTCAAAGCCGATTGGCTCCCATGCACAGCTGCACCAGACTGAGTGGACCAGCTTTAGTAAATAAACCCCCATGTGATCTCATGTTTTATTGCACATTGATGGACAGAAGTGTGAATCTGCTACACCACTCATAGCTGCAGTCTTGACTGCATCACCAAAATTATACCAATGTCCAAAATATTCCCCTATGTAGATATCGAAATTTTAGCTAATCAGGATTTAAAGTCTCACTATGGAGGTCAGTTGCATGACAATGAGCACTGCAAGTTCATGGAGATTAATGCATGAGTGGTACTTACTCGAGCATTGTAGGCATCAAGCTGTGCATCCAGCTCCTCTGCCGATAATTGCTGCTTTGTGTTTCTTCCTGCACCCCGTCCACGACCCCGGTTCCCTCCTCTGCCACCTCTCCTGTTGCCGCCACCAGCACCAAAACCAACAGCACCACCTCGTGGCCTCGTCATGCCACCTCTAGCAGATCTGTAAAGATCAATTTGCAGACTGGTGAGTTAATTGCAGTTATGAGTAAGAAGAATTATTATGAACAGATCTTGCAGGATTTCATATTCAAAGTGTAGCTCACAAGATCCTACTTACGTCTGTATAGGTCTCCTCTGTGATTCTATCTGTGATGTGACCAACTGGATGTTCATGGGGCGACCTAGAGGATAAAAGAAAAAAAAAAAAAGTTTTACTCTTCGTTCCCCAGACAGGACAGACAAGACAGACCAGACAATTCACAGGGTTACAACTCACCGTCAAGTGGCACCCCGTTATACTGCTTCATTGCTTTTAGTGCATCGGCTTTTCTTTCAAAGTGCACATCAGCCGTTCCTAAGCTCCTGCCGGACCTGTCATAGTGTACAGCTGCTTTCTTCAGTGTACCAAATTCTGCAAACAGTTCCTGGAAGACAAGCAATTAGAACACCATTACAATTCATGCAAGAGGAAAGAGGAGACACTGCAACAAAGACCAATGCCATCAGCTGTGCCAACTGCTTAGAGCACGGGTGTCAAACTGGCGGCCCTCCAGCTGTTGCCAAACTACAAGTCCCATGAGGCATTGCAAGATTGACATTTACAAGTATGACTCCCAAAGGTAGAGGCATGATGGGACTTGTAGTTTGGCAACAGCTGGAGGGCTGCCAGTTTGACACCACTGGCCTAGAGCCTACTTAAACCCAGATACTGAAGCAGCTTACCAGTCCTAGACTACATGGTTTATTTTCATGGCAGCCACCTTTAAATTTTCACTTTGTGACCCTGAGAACACTTCCTGCCCCAGGGTGGCTACACTCCCTTAATTGTATCCAAGGAGGGGATGCCATGGAAAGTAAAGCCAGTGACAAGCAGCAAGTCTGTTAGTCTATTACATGGTAGATGGGACTGGTAGTTTAAAGATACACAGGATAATATACAGCATCTCCAGCTCACAAAAAGTGAAGACAATTTTAGCAAGAACAGGTATTTTTGTAATTGCCAAAAAATGTCTGAAAAATATCAAACGCAGCCACCACCTCTAAGGACCACCAAGCCACAATATACATTTCATTTTCTTCTGGAGTTTAACCACTTGCCCTCCAGAGGATTTACCCCCCTGCCTCACCAGACAATATTTTGCGATACAGCACTGCGTTACTTTAACTGACAATTGTGCGGTCATGCGATGCTTCACACATTTAATTTGTCCCTATTGTGCTTTACCTCCCATAACAGCACACCTGAAAGGCAGCCTCGCCTCTGGTACATGAACTAGAGATGAATTCATAGCACTCCCTAATGGGAACCCTTATAAACCTCAGGTGTGTACTCATGTTAAGTTGATGTCAATATTCCAAGTACATTCAAGTGCTGCCCTGTTGCTATAAGTTACTGCAACACAGGGTGGATAAAAATCGATTAAAAAAAAAAGATTTTTTTATTTAAAATGCTTTGAGGAAAAATATATTACCATCCAAAGGTTATTCCATCATGAAATAAAGATTCCTTTTTTAATTATGTAGAATAAGGCTGTATATGTAAATAAATTCCATGAATCCATTCACAATGTCATGCTCTTCCAGAGGTTTCTGTAAGATTATTGGGCAGTTTCTCTGCCTACAAGATATTATCACAGATGTTTGGTTTACTTTTGCAGTTCTCAAAACTGAATTGGACTCAGCGGAGATCACATGCCTCTTCTTCACAGCAAAATGTTATAACATGACCAGAGTTAAGAAAAAGACCTTCATCCTAACTTCTACAGACCTATGAATACAGAATCAACCCCTTCAGTGCTAAGTTTCAAGAAGTTCAGTGAATAGAATAGAAACAATATTTTTCTGATTGTTTGGAGTGGAATAGATCTGCACAAGAAGAAAGTGAAACTAAGTGTGAGGAGGAAGGGGCTGACAGTCTAAGTTTCTTCAAATATATATATATTTTGTTTAGCCAAATTAGTTACCAAACATGGATGTTTAAGCGAATCACATATGCTGGAATGTTATTGTTTCAGATGAATAAATCTATTTAAATTGTTATTATTAAGGTAATGATTATTTTTCTCCTTCCTAAGTACAACAGAAAAGTTGTCCAAATATGAATGATTAACCTATTAAACTGGGGATAAAAAACTAATATGAAAAGTTGTTATTCTAAAAATCTTCATCTACTTTTATATTAAAGTTATACCAGCAAGAATTAGTCTTTATGTAGAAAACTAGGATTTACATCAAGCCTTACGGACTAGTGATTTAAATCAATCCACCCTGCTGCAACATCTGCTCGGGTTTGTCACAGTAAACTGCAAGTGTCTTTACCTGGATATCTGCATCTGAAACCCCGAAGTCCAGATTGGACACCAACAGTTTTCCCCCAGTCTCCACTCCAGCGCCACCACCGAATCCGCTGTCAAACAGGTCGTGCTGCCACTTGTCTGGAAGCTGCTTGGGCTGAAAAACAAGAAAGCAATTTGTTCGGATGGATTCTATAAACTGACGACAAAGTACACCTTCCCCTGATGTGTCAACGGTGACCAGCTACTATCATACAAGGACTGATCATACAGGTTTCCACCAATACTTCCACATACAACCCAGGAGAGGGCCAGCTGGTACAACACACCCTTCTGTCACTTCACCCACTATGAATGTGTCAAAGATCTGCTGTACCAAAGAGGAGCCCAACCCTCCCCTACCAGATCAGCACACATTTGGCCCCTACATTTATGAAAACTTTGTGAAAGGGACCCCATGCGTCAGAGCAAAGCTTCTATCAGCATTCTGCACATGGTTAACAACTCCTCTCCCCGATGCCGACTCGCTGCTATAGAAATAGGAGGAGCTGTTTATAAAGAGCCAACAGTCTATGGAGGATTCCTTTGCAAAAAAAGATCCATATGCCAACTTTTCTCCTGTGATTCTATTAGAAAGTCTGACATGCACAGCAAGGCCAGCCTTGTACTGCAGAACCTCATGGGATGGAATTCTACCTAAACTGCCTGCAACTATGAACAAGGTACCTGGCATAGGAGTGCAACCCCTCCCCCATACGTCACCCATTATTCACCACCAGGACAAAAACCCAAGGTTGAGCCTTGGTGAGAACAGGCCAGATGTTTGATCTCATAGAACCGGCTGAAGAACTGAAGCCTGGAGCAGTATATTGCCTTCTCACACCAACGCCTCATTTCACTGAAGAGTCAATATCTGGTCATAGCTGTGGATACATACACTGTGCCCAACTTCAACCAACCCCAACCCTGGGCCACATGCCTACACAGGTCATCTGCAGACCATGGCACCGAAGGTATTCCATCTATGAAGACATTCTTGGCGATGGGGCATCTGTGGGTCACTACACAACCACAAGCTCCAGAAAGTCCTCATTTTACCAAATCTATGCTGAATTACCCACAATGCAACTTGAACAGGAGCCCAGGGCCTGGTGATGCTCAGAGTGGCCAGCAGCCACCTTCATGGTCCTGCAGTAAACGGTACAACTAGTAAAAGCACCTCACAAGGGAGAACAGACCTTAAGGCTGGCCATAGACAAGCAGTTTTATCAGCCGAATTGTCGAACGATAAACGAAAAATCGGTTGTTGCCGATGCTGCCACCATTGTCTACGAAAAACATCCGTTTGTGGATTTTCCAGCATGACCGATAAAAAGAAACGAGAAGATCCACGAAATACAGCCGACGTCATTGCCCCACTAATGGCGTGAATATCGGCAGATTTCATGTGGATGAAAATTCAGCCGATAAACGACCAGTCTATGGCAGATTGGGTCTAATGGGGCAACTCCAGTACACACTGCATTAAGTACAGAAGTTCTCATTTGCAACCAGGATCATGTCCATAAAATGATGGGACAAAAGCTGCTGCTATCCAACCTGGTCTCCATATTTCCTTTTAACCAGTTGTGGGCATTGGACATTCTACATAAAGTGCGCAAGGCATGTGTACTAGAATTGGTCTGTGGATTGCATTAAGCCTCGGTTCACAACGGTGCAACTTGTCATGTGACTCAACAGATCAAAGTCACATGAGAAGTCGCTCCCTACTGCCAGCTATGGAACCGTTTAAATTGGTGCAACTCTGATTTGCATCAACTTTCAAAAAGATCCCTGAGCCATTTTTTTTCCCCAATTTCATGTGCAATTTTCCTCGATATCTGTGCATGAAGTCGCACAGATGTCAGCAGTTCAGTGCTTTTGTATTAGCGTTTAGCTTTGGTTTTTTTTACCAAAACAATTTAGTCAAAAGTCCAAAAACGTGGTTTGCTAGATTTACCACGTTTTTACAGCTAGAAAAACTCTTCTAGAAACCCACTATTCCTGCGGGTTTTTTTTTTTTCAGCCAAACATTGATTACAGTCTGTACATGAACACGCAGGATAACACGCCGGGGATGGACACGCAGGATAACACGCCGGGGATGGACACGCAGGATAACACGCCGGGGATGGACACGCAGGATAACACGCCGGGGGGTTTACTAGCTGTAGAAAAATGGCAAAAGCCACAAACAGCCGCTGTAAAAAATGTCCCGTGTGCAGGAGGACACAGAATGAGAACAGGATTACGTCAATGAATCTATCCAAATGCAGCTGAGGAGCTCCCGATACAAACATTGTATCCAACTACAACAGGTACATGTCAAAGATTTAGCTGCTACAAAGGTTTTCATGTGAAGGGTGAAAAATTCTTCCCATTCTGTCCACCTCAATGGAGAAGTGATTTTACAGCAGGTGAACAGTCAGACATCTATTATAACAGACAGGAGATCAGCCTTTCCACCTGCAGAAAGCAGTCATGAGGGAAACGCAGATATCTGGTGAATGGCACAACTACTGAAACATGTTGGTGGTGGGCGGCATCCATCTGGTCAGCTGTTATTGTAGTAAAAGCCATTGAAGAGGGCTCCAGTTGGTGTGTGCAATGGCTACATTCTAGCACCACCATACCAACAGACCACCTGCCTACCCCCTCACTGGTCAACACGATACGGACCCCTCTCCTCCTCCACTTACATGTGTCACCTGTCAAGTTCCGTGAACCTCAGCCTGCTAATAAACCAACTCTACCAATGGAAGCCGAAGTCTAGAAGGGCCTGCGGGCAGGTATTACAACTCTACCAATGGAAGCCAAAGCCTAGAAGGACCCACGGGCAGGTATTACAACTCTACCAATGGAAGCCAAAGCCTAGAAGGACCCACGGGCAGGTATTACAACTCTACCAATGGAAGCCAAAGCCTAGAAGGACCCACGGGCAGGTATTACAACTCTACCAATGGAAGCCGAAGCCTAGAAGGGCCCGCGGGCAGGTATTACAACTACCAATGGAAGCCGAAGCCTAGAAGGGCCCGCGGGCAGGTATTACAACTCTACCAATGGAAGCCGAAGCCTAGAAGGGCCCGTGGGCAGGTATTACAACTACCAATGGAAGCCGAAGCCTAGAAGGGCCCGCGGGCAGGTATTACAACTCTACCAATGGAAGCCGAAGCCTAGAAGGGCCCGTGGGCAGGTATTACAACTCTACCAATGGAAGCTGAAGCCTAGAAGGGCCCGCGGGCAGGTATTACAACTCTACCAATGGAAGCCGAAGCCTAGAAGGGCCCACAGGCAGGTATTACAGCCACATTTGAGCCCTAAGATAGCGATGGATCACCTTTAACAACTTCCTGTCCTCCACAGCCCTTTAACCAGGTCCAAGTTGGTGAGCTTGGAAAGGACTCCCTGATCACACAATTGGTAGTTATTGGTTGCATGATCATGAGCTCCTCATCAGAAGATTAGGATCTGTCAATGACAGCTCAGTCACTGTACTGTGAGCGTACACCACACAGAAAACTCATCTGCTACGGACACACGTCTAGCCCATGGGTGTTCAGGCCTTGCTCCCATATGTGTTACATGGCCAGCAACAGGTCTGGGTTCCAACATGTACCTGGGTATCACCAACAGAGCATGCTCTGTACATCTCATCACCAACAGTCACAATGACAGAACAGTGACCCCTCTATGCTGCCTGGTGACCTTTAATCAAAAGAGAAAATGACAAGAAAACTAACACTTTACAGCTGTCACAAAACACAACTTAAGAATCCAATGTGGACTTCTGCTCCAGCAACAGCTTCCTGCTGAGACAAATGAGAAAATCTCAAGTTTAACTCTTCATACTACATGTGTTTAAGTATTAATTCACCTTTCAAAAAAAAAAAAAAAAAAAAATTAACTATACACCTTTCCCACCCTCAGCTGTACTTGCCTCTGGGTGTTGAGCGGAGTCCAGCCAGTCCAGCTAATAATGCTGTCTGCAGCACTTCCAGGATGGATCAGAATGACGCTCTGATGGAGCAGACCAATCAGAATCACTCTGACCATTCCTGGGAGCACTGCACAGAGAAGAGGGGGGATTTCAGCTTTCTGAGCTGCTCCACTGGCTGGGTGGGCAATGACACCTCACCCATTGAGGCAGGTACAGTGAAGAAAGGGGGGTGCAGTGTCCATTCACCTTTAAATTTTCCTTTTACAGGAAAAAAAAGGAAAATTAGAAGGAAACGCTAAAAACTATAGAGCATCCTAGGATGAATGTGCATGACGGGGAAGGACATTCAACGTGCAAGGTAAATTCCCCAACAGTTGTGTATGGTCATGTGAGAAAACAATTGACTCATATGGGGTGATCAAGGCTACAATGGCACGGCCAATCGATGAATGACTGGGGAAGGGGAGTTGTGTCGCTGATGGTATGGGATTGATGACTGTGTGCCCTTATGAACCATTCTGATCAATCCTGTACGATCAATTCCTTCTCAACCACAACAAATGATTTGGGTTGATCAAAATTGGCGCTGTTGCCCAACCATGTCCTAGTTTCACTCCATGGATGTCCAATTCCATCGTTGTGTGGGACAATGTCCAGTCTTAGTGCATGGCCACCATAAGGCCTCATGCACACTGGACATAAATAGGCCCGTAGCATTAGCAGAGAATGATGCATTAACTGGAGTTTTATCGCTTTTTTTGGATTAGCGTTTAGTATTTTTCAGCGGTTGCATTTCTAGCAAAACTATATTCCCACAAAAGCTTGAGGCTCAAAAACGGTCAACCACCACCAGATAGCTGCAGTTTGCAAACACTTCAAGTGTAGTAGTTCTGGGGCTTTTCCCAGCCTAAAAACTCCCACTCCAAAACACTGATAAAAGCCATTGTGTGCATGATCACAAAGGATAACATGCTGGGGAATTTAGAGGCTGTAGGAAAAACACAAAAAAAAAAACCACACAAAACATGTCTGACACCTAAAACAGCAGCTGTAAAAACACCCAGTGTGAACAAGGCCTTAGCTGAATGTACAACCAACTTTAGTTTTACCAGACCCCCTATATTACAAGGACCTACCTGAACCATCAGGCTCCATGCACACTAGTGTTTTTACAGCTTCTATAAGTGGTTAGCATTTTTTCTGCTCCTAGAAACATACTAGTGTTGTCCTATGTGTCCATGCACACTAATTTAGGCTGGTAGTGTTTGAGCGTCAGCTCCTAGTAGCAAACAAATTCTGTAGCTTTTTTTGGGTGTTTTGCTGGTAAAACGCTGAACATCCGAAAACCAACAGCATTTTTTTCCCTACATGTACTGTAAAAACTCCAAGTTGGCAAAAAAAAAAAAACACAACTAGACTCCATGCACTCCAATAGCCGCTGCAAAAACACTGAATAAAAAGATTTTCTGTTGGCTTGTGGCTTGTAGTAGCGTTTGAGTGTTTTACAGTACATGATGAAAAAAAGCGCTGTCAGGAGCATTAGAGCAGCAGTGTTTTCTGTTGTAAAAAAACAAAAAAACTAAACTTTTCTGCTCCTAGATGTCAATGCTCAAAAAACAAAAACTAACGCTACTAGCATACAGTAGTGTGCACGGACACATAGGATAACACCATTTAGATTCTAGGAGCAGAAAAATGCTCATACCAGCTTCTAAAAGCTTTAGGCCTCATGCACACTGGATGTTTTTACAGTGGCTGTTTTTCTCTACAGCCAGTAAAACTCCCCAGCATGTTATCCTATGTGTCCATGCACATAGGCTTTAATCAACGTCTTTTGTCAGGAGCTTTTCAGGTTGGGGAGAAAAAAAAACCCCAGAACTAGTGTTTTTTCTAGAGTTTAGCTGTAAAAACTGTCCAACGCTGGTAAGTTAGGTAAAATGTGGCAACGTGTTGTTTTTTTTCAGCTTGAGACAAGATTTTAAAAAAACAAAACACCACTCAAAAAAAAAAAAAAAAAACCACAAAAACAAACAAAAAAAAAAAACTAATGCAAACAAAAAAACCCCCACACAAAAACACTCCCCAAAAAAATAAAAACCCACGCAACACATGCATTAGACCCTTGGTTAAGAAAAAAAAAAAAAAAAAAAAAAAAAAAAAAATCACAGCTTCTACAGTTGTGGACGGACCTATAGGATAACTGAGCTGCTTCTATAGGTAAAAACACATTTGGACTATTAGAAGCAGGAAGAACACTTCGTCTGATTGGAGCTTTCTGCCAGAACTAGGAGGGTATATTTAAAAAAAAAAACAAAAAAAAAACCAAAACATGCTACTTCTACAACAGGTGTTTTACGCATTTTTCTCTTCGGCCTGTAGAAGCAGCTCTATGCTAGTCTATGTCCATGCATATTAGGTAGTTTACAGGAAAATTTTGAAGGAGGCTTTGGGGGGAGGGGAACCCCACACAATTGTGTTTTAGAACTTTTGGGCAGAAAAATTCTTGACACTCATAAATGTAACTTTTAGGAACTTTCTGCATTTTCAAGCCAACACAGAAAACATGACCAAAGGGGGATGCTTATAAAAAAATTCCTATACCCTCTCATGCAATACAAGCCACTATGAGCATTTAAAGCCACTTTTTATCTGCCCCAATGTGCATGGACCCCTAAACTGTGCAGAAACCGCTTTACATCTTTTCTGCCAAGAGAACTGGATTTTTTTTTCAATTTAATCTCAGGGTGAATGGAGCCACAGACCCTCTCACACTACAGCTTGAAAAAGCTCAGTACAGCACTTTTTTTCCTGGGAGGTAAAAATGTAGCCCATTATGTACAATGCGCCTGTTCAAACAGTCATGTAAACAAGTGCCGCATATTAAGAAAAAAAAAAAATCTGCACTTTTGGTCAGCCATTTACGCCACATGCGTGCAAGAACATTAATGACTTGTCAACCAAGAAACTACTGTGTGCCTAAAACAAAATGCCTGAAATTACACCCCCCCCCCCAAAAAAAAAAAGCAGATGGGCAGCACAGTGGCTGAATGGTTAGCACTTCCGCCTGGCAGTACTAGGGTCGTCTGTTCGAATCTCAGCCACGGCACCACCTGCCTGGAGTTTGCATGTTCTCCCTGTGCCTGCGTGGGTTTCCTCCTGAACTCCAAAGACATGCTGGTGGGTGAATCGGATCCTGTCTAAGTTGTCCCTAGTGTCTGTATGTATGTGAGTTAGGGACCTTAGATTGTACACCCCCTGAGGGTTATGGACTGAGGTGAATGTACGATATATATGTAAAGTGCTGCGTACATTGATGGCGCTATATAAGTACCTGGAATAAATAATAGATGCCCAAACATCAGTAGCGCATACAAGAAGCCTTCTCAGTGTTTCTCAGGCAGCATATTTCTATCAGTTTTCCAGCTTACAAACCACTTTAGTGTGAATGGAGCCTCAAGGTGCACCCGGTCAGACAGGTCTGTGTACTAGAGGTATGTAGTAGTTGGTGGATCCAAATGATTGTCCAATCACAGCAATGTGAGCGAGGATCCGAGCTCCTCCTACACACTGGCACGCTGCCATTTATAAACAAACTCTGGGAAGTTACAACAACCTCCATGCTTCCGGATCATTTCCCAGCATTCTATTCCCTCCGCTCACAGCTGAGCAGAATCCCTGGAAGTGCCGCACATCCAGTACATGGATGGAGGAAAACGGCACTTCTCTGATCGTAGAAGCATTGCTGTCTATGGACACCCCCCCCCCCCCCCCCACATGGCAATGTAGAGATACGCACTTAGTATGGTGGCGTACAATAAAAAAGTGTGATGTCATAGCTGCAGTCATTTACACGCATGTGGATGAAATATACACGTATACACGCATTTATGGGCAGTCTGTAAGAGAACATTCCACTGCAGATCTTTCCGCCAACAATCAGGAATATACACCTCAGTAAACTAACAGAAATCCAAACAGCAGGGAGAATGAGGCCCAACACAACCACCTCTGATTGGAGGAGAACTTTCATCTCCCAACAATCTGGACCCAGAGCCGGCCAAGAGTCCCTCCCCTGACCGTCTGGCCCCACTACAGACACCAGGCCACATATGGCACGGATCCACCGGCGGTCCCAGCCACGGCTCACTGTAGATCCCAATTGGCTGGCCATGTAGCACCATGGATAACAGGCACCATAGGCTGGTAACAGCAGTGGGAGCTTTGGATGTTGCCATTGGTTCTACACAGATAGCTCCAGGCTGGGGCCCCTATTAGAGGTAATGGGGGCCCCCGATCCGGATCCCAGGTACCCCATAGACATCAGATACAATAAAATGAAGATCCAATCCTTCCCACCTCCCTCCCGCAATCAGGGGCTGATCGCCCACATTCAACCAATCACAGCCCGCTACACCACGTGACCAGCTGTTGTCCATGGTAACCCCATGAAGGCCTCACGCGGCCCTCTCCTCCTCCCAGCCTTACCCGGATGTATGGGGCCGGCCGGTTCCTCCCGCCTCGGTTCAGCATGGGCCTCGTTCTGACCGGGCCTCCGCCACCACCTCCTCCTCCTCCCCGGCCTCCGCCGACCACGCGGCCTCCGCCGACTCCCCCGCGGGCCCCTCGTCCTCCCCGACCCCGGCTCGCCGGCCTTTGGCTGCGGTTCATCTTGATGATATCGTCCAGGGACATATCCATCTTGTCCCCCATGACGGCAGCGGGTGTCCGTGAATCACGTGTCCGGGTGCGGCTTCCGCTCTAACAATACAACGGCCGGACAGAGCCGCGCTTATATATAGCTCCGCCCGTAGAACAAGCCGCGGGCCGCCGTCACTTCCGGCGCGTGACGTCAGGGAGGAAAGAAAGGCATGCGTTCCACGTCTCGCCGAAGCCCGGGAATTGGCTGTCTGGCTCGATCGCCACCTGCTGGAGAGGATATTAAGCAGCAGGATGTAAGTGTCCACAGCGCCACCTGCTGGAAACAAGTAGTAACCATCACTGGGGACATCACCAACCATCAGCTGTGCTATTAAAGTGGTATAAACCCCAGAAGCCAACACTTGTTACATCGCACCCAGGGGCGGACTGACAACTCATGGGGCCCCCGGGCAATAGGGGATCATGGGGCCCCTGTGTCCTTGCCCAAACTCAAAAAAGCCTATGAAAAAGGTACCAGGTGCATCTCATGGGGCCCCCTACTGACCCCGGGCCCTCGGGCAGTTTCCAAATGGTCAGTCCGCCCCTGCATGGGGATGATACACTGGATGCACTGGATTATTACTCAGTTCTCTGGGTTGGAGCCCACAAGGGACAGCCTCAGCATCACACCTTTACTGCAGTATAGGGATTGTCAAGCAAGTTTTTCTGCTCTGATCTGGTTCATTCCGGGGAACACGCTTCACTAATAAAAGCTCGTTTGACTATTAAGCCATACAAGTCCATCATATCTAGTGAATGTGGATTGTACCGGAAGGTGATCACAGACGGTGTGGGGATATCGTGTAAGGAACACATTTGGGTTTTTGGCACTGTTTTTTTAATTGGAACACTTTATCACCGTTTATTTGGGACATTGGACTTTTTTTAATATATTTTTATTATTTTATTTATCTCATCACTGTTGATATCATTACTATTATTTGTTTAATTTTTGCGCTGTTATTACTTTTATGTTTGGTGGTTTTTTACCTTATGAACAGCAGCATTAATTATTTGGATTATACAGTATAGTAATTAAACCATATGCATAGCTTATATATTGCAAGCAGTAAAATAGCTTGAAAACAAGCCATCCCTGACCTCTCTAGCAGTTTGTAATGTAAAGGAATTCATTGTCAAAGGTTCTTATACATCACAATAGTAGCCTGGTGTCAGTTGGCTTCTAACAGCTCAGGAACAGGGGCTGTGTGTTTACATTAGAGGGCTGGCAGGCTGCAAAGTTTCTGCTCTCTATAGACAATAGCTGACATTTCTGTGCCACTGTTGTGAACGAAAATAGTTCTAAATACTACAATTTTTGTACATGAATGCAATATATTCATCCAGAGGGATATTCCTCAACACATCGTTTACTGCATATACTACTTGGCAGCACCACTAAATCCTTTACTTCCCCTAGAATGACATGATAGTTGCCTCTTAACTTCCCTTGGAATGACAAGTTGGGGTCTCCCTACCTCCCCTTGAAATGACGAGATGGGGTCCCTTTACCTCCTCAAGATGGGGATTCCGTACCATCCCTTGATGTGGCAAGATGGGGGTTCCCTTACTTTCCCTTGAAATGGCAAGATGGGGGTCCCCATACCTCCATTTGAAATGACATAATAGAGTCCTCTTACCTCCCCTTGGAATGGAAAAATTGGTCCCCTAACCTCCACCTGGATTGGCAAGATAAGCTTCCCTAACCTCTGCTTGAAATGATAAGATGTGGGGGTTCCTTCACTTTTCCTTAAAATGACAAGATGAGGTCCCCTTACCTTTTCTCAAAATGACTAGATAGGGGTTCCTATACCTTGTCTTAGAATGACAAAATGGGGTCCCCTTACTTTCTCTAAGAATGACTAGATAGGGGTTCCTATACCTTGCCTTGGAATGAGAAAATAGGGTCCCCTTTCTCTATGAATGACTAGATAGGGGTTACTATATCTTGCCTTGGAATGACAAAATAGGGTCCCCTTTCTCTTAGAATGACTAGATAGGGGTTCCTATATCTTGCCTTGGAATTACAAAATGGTAGTCCTCTTACCCCCCCCCCCCCCCTCCCCCCCTGGGGATAACAAGACAAAAAGTTGGGTCACAGCCCTTGTACATAAATCAGTACAATACAGTTGTAAAATATTCCTGGAGGCAGATAAGCTCTGGAGGGTTCGGGCGGACACAGAAAGCCCAGATGTATTGTGTACAGTTGTATTGTTCTCTCTAGAGGACTAAAGAGATGGAAATGATCTCCCCACCCAGACACATCTTACAGGAATAAAAAATGTAGAAATAACAACACCATACAGCCAGAGCCATTGTCTGTCACTTTATTGTGTAAAGGAGATTTCACTGTAGTGTTTACAGAGTGTGAGTCCACCCAAAACTTGTATTGAAGGAATTATGGGGGCTGGTGACCTCACCTGCTGAAAATGCTATCTATGGACCTGCAATACTTTGGGAATTAGCGACCTAGGAAATTTCTGTAGACCAGGGGTTCTGAGCAGGAATGGGAAATAGATCATATTAACTTTCTTGAAAATTCTGCAAATATCAGATATAGGTAAAATGTCGCCATTTTTGATGAAATGCAGGACGTGACCTCCTCCATGTAACAGCATGGGTGCTTGGTGATTGGTCAGTACTGTTACAGGGGGGTGGAAAGAATCCTTAGGGCATGTAAGCTCCGACTAAAGCGACCCAGAGCTTTCCCCCTTCACTCTCAGCTGGATGAATGGAGCAGCAGGGGAAAGTAAAAGTATATCCTGCCCAAGAGATTTCAAAGAACATGTTGTATTTCCCTACATGTCCTAAACATAGGTTCGCTTTAAGCCTGTCAGCAGGGCTGAAAGAGTACCTTGAACCAACTGAGCTCTCAGTGAAGCAATCACATTGAGGTGTTCCACCAATAATACCAGCCTGAAGCATCTAGCAGACACTGAAACAGAAATATCAGTTCTTATCAAGCTTATCTAAAAAGATGGGGGTCCCGATACCTCCTCTTAGATTGACAAGATGGGGTCAGCATACCTCCCATTGGAATGACAAGATGGGGGTCCCTATATCACCCCTTGGAATGACAAAATAGGGTTTCCTTACCTTACCTTGAAATTACAAGATGGGGGTAGCCTTACTTTCCATTGGATTGAAAAGATGGGGTCCTCATATCTACCCTTGAAATGACAAGATGGTGGTCTTTATTCCTCCCGTTTAAATGACAAGTTGGGAGTGCCCTTACCTTCCTTCTGAATGACAAGATGGGGGTTCCTATACCTCCCTTTGAAATGACATAATACAGTCCCCTTACCTCCCCTTGGAATGGAAAAATTGGGTCCCCTAACCTCCACATGTAATGACAAGATGGGGGTCCCCATACCTCCCGTTGCAATAAAATAAAAGGTCCTCTTATCTCCCCTTGAAATGACAAGTTGGGGCTCCCCTTACCTGCCATTCTAATGACAAGATGGTGGTCTTTATACTTTCCCTTTAAATGACAAGTTGGGAGTGCCCTTACCTCCCCTCGGAATGACAAGATGGGGGTCCCTATACCTCCATTTGAAATGACAAGATGAGGTCCCCTTACCTTCTCTCAAAATGACTAGATAGGGGTTCCTATACCTTGCCTTGAAATGACAAAATGGGGTCCCCTTACTTTCTCTAAGAATGACTCGATAGGGGTTCACAAAATGGGGTCCCCTTACTTTCTCTAAAAAAATGACTAGATAGGGGTTCCTATACCTTGCCTTGGAATGAGAAAATAGGGTCCCCCTTTCTCTATGAATGACTAGATAGGGGTTCCTATACCTTGCCTTGGAATGAGAAAATAGGGTCCCCTTTCTCTATGAATGACTAGATAGGGGTTCCTATATCTTGCCTAGGAATGACAAAATGGTAGTCCTCTTACCCCCCCCCCCCCCCCCCTTGGAATAACAAGACAAAAACTTGGGTCACAGCCCTTGTGCATAAATCAGTACAATACAGTTGTAAAATATTCCTGGAGGCAGATAAGCTCTGGAGGGTTCGGGCGGACACAGAAAGCCCAGATGTATTGTGTACAGTTGTATTGTTCTCTCTAGAGGACTAAAGAGATGGAAATGGTCTCCCCACCCAGACACATCTTACAGGAATAAAAAATGTAGAAATAACAACACCATACAGCCAGAGCCATTGTCTGTCACTTTATTGTGTAAAGGAGATTTCAATGTCCTGTTTACAGAGTGTGAGTCCACCCAAAACTTGTATTGAAGGATTATGGGGGCTGGTGACCTCACCTGCTGAAAATGCTACCTATGGACTGCAATACTTTTGGAATTAGCGACCTAGGAGATTTCTGTAGACCAGGGGTTCTGAGCAGGAATGGGAAATAGATCATATTAACTTTCTTGAAAACTCTGCAAATATCAGATATAGGTAAAATGTCACCATTTTGATGAAATGCAGGACGTGACCTCCTCCATGTAACAGCATGGGTGCTTGGTGATTGGTCAGTACTGTTACAGGGGGGTGGAAAGAATCCTTAGGGCATGTAAGCTCCGACTAAAGCGACCCAGAGCTTTCCCCCTTCACTCTCAGCTGGATGAATGGAGCAGCAGGGGAAAGTAAAAGTATATCCTGCCCAAGAGATTTCAAAGAACATGTTGTATTTCCCTACATGTTTAAAACAAAGGTTCGCTTTAAGCCTGTCAGCAGGGCTGAAAGAGTACCTTGAACCAACTGAGCTCTCAGTGAAGCAATCACATTGAGGTGTTCCACCAATAATACCAGCCTGAAGCATCTAGCAGACACTGAAACAGAAATATCAGTTCTTATCAAGCTTATCTCAAAAGATGGGGGTCCCGATACCTCCTCTTAGATTGACAAGATGGGGTCAGCATACCTCCCATTGGAATGACAAGATGGGGGGTCCCTATATCACCCCTTGGAATGACAAAATGGGGTTTCCTTACCTTCCCTTGAAATTACAAGATGGGGGTAGCCTTACTTCCCATTGGATTGAAAAGATGGGGTCCTCATAT